TCACGTCAATGCCTTTGCAGAGGAGGCAGACGTAGCGGTTGGGCTCCATTGGGGACACGATCTGACGGAATAGGAACGACTCGTCTTCGTGTTCAACACTGAGCGCCAGATTCAGGGGTAGCTCTGAATGCAAGAGTAGTATTTTGTCGGGAAGTTTCGTCAGTTGCGAGTCATTCTCGACATCGAGAGTGCATTCGTGGAGTTCCGGCAGACCGTCGATGTATTTAGTCATCGGTGTCGACGTCCGCCTCTGTGCCGAAGCCGGCGCCTTCTTCTGCGTCGCCGCCGGTGTCGACACAAACTTCGGCGTAATCTTCGCGCCTGACGCCTGTCCACCGCCGCTCAGCTGCGACTTCAGCTGAGTCTGACTGATGGCCAACAGCTTCGGCGTCGATATCGTCTGCTTCGGCGTCACTCGAGAGTAGGTTTGAATCACTTTCGGCTTATCCGTGTCCTTCTTGGCCGAGTCGTCCGACTTCTTGCGACTTCGGGACGGCTTGTAGTCGTCGTCCGCGGGGTCCGACTTAGCGCCGGCGTCGTCCGTCTCGATCTCAACCGACTCGGACTTATCGCCAACTTTTTTGGTACCTTTGAAGGCCACCTTCTTCTGGGAACTGCTGGTCGTCGCGTCCACCTATAGGTCGCACACAAAAAGCCAATTAATAGGCGCCAAAGACGGCCAACAAAACCAATCCATACCTTAATGTTAGTGCCGTCGGGAAGAGTGACCACAAGTTTGCTTCCGTCGCCGATCTTCGAGACGCCGACATTCTCGATGGTGTGGACGACACCGGAGTCGCTGTTGTTGACGCCCCTATTGACGGGTGTCTTGCGGCGCGGGGGCGACACGTCGGACGAGAGCTTGAATGTGGGCGACACCGACACCGTCGCCTCCTCATCGTCGCTGTCGTTCACATAGCGGGCCGACGAGGATGTGGTCGACGGGAACTTAATGGCCGTTCGCTCGCGTTTGGGCGCATCGAAGGGCGGCGGAGAGTATCGGGCCTTCGACTTGATCTGAT